CCCTGTGACTCTGCTGGGGAACCCCACGTCCCCTGCGCTGGGAAGCCTGGGGGCAGCAAGGGGCCTCCCACACCAGCCACGGCAATCATCTGTCCAAACAGCACAGCCTGCACAGGTAGCTCTGCCCGCACAGGGCAGCACGGTGGCCCCAGGGACAGCGCAACTCCAGCCCACTGGAGGGGGATCCATTCTGCCAAGAACCCAGCTGCCTGGGGACTGCCCTCCTCATACTCATGCAGGAACCCCAGGCCAAGGGGTATCCTCCTAGGCCTCCAAGTCCTCACAGCTTCTCCCCTGCATTGCCACATGTGTCCAGTGGCCCAGCAATGTAGGATGGGAGATAGGCCCTGCCCTCCATCCAGCTGTGCCACATGTTGCTGTCCTCACAGGTGCCCCCAGCCGCCTCCCAGCAGCTGCTGGGGCCATGCCAGTGCCCACCATGCTCTGCATCATTCTTGCCACCCTTCTCTGCCTCGCCCTGGGTGTCCTCGCTGTGCAGGCTTGGCGTGCAATTTCTCTGCGCAGAGGTTTGTTGCACTTGGGTACTCTGGGGCGGAAGCTTCATGCGGTGGTCCATCTGTCCAGGCTGGGAACTGGTAAGGTGGTGGAGGCCATGAGGCCAGGTGGGGGTTAAGATGGGACCCGGTGCAGCACCGGGTCCAGTCAAGGATATCGAGGCGCTCACAGGATGGGGCAAAGCTATGGGCCTGCACCACAGAGGTAGCGGGAGGATTACAGGTGACCCCTTATATCCACTGTGCTGTCCTCGTGGTCTTGGCCCATGGCTGCCTTCCATTCCAGGCCCTGGCACAGATGCAGATGCAACCTATGAGGCCATCTATCAGGAGCTTGACTACACCGTGACACCAGAGTACCAGGACATGCCGAATGGCTCAGGTGGGTGTGTCATGGACCTGGGTGAACATGGCTTCCAACAGTCCTTCCCTGTCTCTCCCGACCCCATCCCTGGCAACTCTCTCTGCTCAGGAGTTCTCTGGGCCTAGTCCCCACACACCAGTGCAGCACCCAACA